TATAAACACATAATTTATATTGTATTACATCCTAATTAATATTATACCAATATTATATCAGAATGTATATGATATACATTAAACATATAATTGTTTGTATTTTAATTACAGAACGATTATTACTTACCACCACGGTCAACATGGTCGAGAGTCTCACCGCAACAGTCGAAGAAACAAAGAGGCAACACCACGTGGAAAGTCGGCAGTGCAATGTTAATTATCTCCGCTATGCTAGTATTAATCGCTGTCTTTGCGATCGCTGGTCTCGCGTTATGGATGGGAGGTTCGTTGCTACTTTATGACTCGCTTGGTCGCATCGGCTATTAACGTTGCGCCGTAAAATTTTATTGAACAAACCGCAAATAACGCTGAAAATACTTATGTGAAACGGATCTTTGTTTCAGCACTCCGAACGGACTCGAAAAATGGTAAGATTAATTTCCTTTTTCATATTGACTCCATATAACCGTAAAAGTCGAATCGCGTTATTAAATTCTTCTTGAAAAACACTTTCATAATAACCAAAAGAAAACTGCATTATTTAGGCAATAGATAATTACAAAATTCACCATTTTCAAAGGAAATGCTGAACAGTAATTGTTTAAAAATCTTACATACTCTTTAATTATTTAAAAATGTATTTTTCGAATTTCATTGAAACGTTTATAAACGTCAATGAAATTGAAAATTAATTATTTCAGCGATCGTCGGGTTCACGTGCACGTTCAGGGTGACCAAGGGGGAAAAGTACAACCCCATGTTGAAGCTGAACACGAGTATGGTGTTCCGGGAGAAGGAACGGAAATACAAGAATATAGTGAGTACAGGAATAATTTGTTCACTTAAAAATATTCGAATCGATTAGGCGGATAAATGGACGATAGATGTATCATTACCATGTTTTAGTTCGAGCTGTTGTTTCAAAGAAGCGTGTTAGGCAGCGCTTATCAGAAGACGATCATCGACAAGTTCGAGAGTGGTATACTGAAAGTCTTCTTCAGGATTTACTTGGACAGAAGGAAGATACCTCGATCAATCACCAACGTCGAGGATACAATCGAGGACATTATCGCGAAGGAGACGTACTCATCGTCCTCCTTGTTCAAGGACATGGAACTGGACCTCACCAGCATATCTGTAAAAAGTACGTACCCGTTAGAAGCGACGACTAATTCCGACAAGGTAATAAAATCGAAATTACCCCCATTTATTTCATAATTTGCCCACCGTGATGCTCGAATGCGTCCGTTTTTCTCGTCGGTCGGGATACTAAATCACGGAATCTGGACTGTAAAGTTTTTTTACAAAATCTTGCAATCATGCACAGGTTTAAAAGAACACGAAGCTTATAAAAAATTAATTCCTTCTCAAGAAGTGTCTGCGTGTCGAAAACAATTTAATAACTGCTCCAAAACTGCAGTACCGTCACACTGTCAAATACTACTGTCGATAATTGCTTAAATAAATATAAAATTTAATTGTTCTTGTTGAAAAGAAGATAGAAATTTAGTTCGTCCTGTGATTTACCCTTATGTTAACAAGCAAATGTTTATGTTTGCATTTGGTCAAACTTTAATATTAAAACATTTATGCATAAGTTTTATTTGAAAAATAAAAAATGGATATACGCCAGGTTGATTACACAAAGGTTAATTGATCATTACTATAGATTCAATTATTATTTTGATTATTATTTTACTATCTTTTTCTTGCATTAAACTTAATTTGATATAACCTAAATCTTTTTTATAAAATTTCATCTTAAAGGTCGTTAAAAAACATAACATTCTGAACATTTAAAATGCCTCAAGAGGCATAATTTCATCTACTTTCTACAAAAAGTAATAATTGCATCTACTTCAGGAATAAATCCAGACGTATCTGGAAGTCAAAAGCAGGCGCAACAGAGGAACGCCATGATCACGAAAAACGGTCTGCTGCGACCGAGTAGAAATAGTTCGCTGATCACGAGCCCAAAAACGAAGGCGAAGCCGAGCAAACCAGAATCCAGCGAGCCTGAAATCGACTTCAGCAACATACCAACGATTCAGGGGACGTACAAAGCTTCGAAGGTGAACATCACGTCCCCGAACAAGACCATTTCTACTCAGGAGGCTGTGAAGACGCAGCCGAACCTGAAAAATGGTACCAAAGGATCGTTACCTCAGGATCAAACCACGACAAAGTCTTCTGCAACGGTAACCACTGAGCTAAGTCACATCAACGCGCAGACTACACCTCTAAGGATCAAGGAGAAGCTCAATTACACCACTAATGCGGACAAATTGAAGGAAACAATCAAAGAACCAGCCAAAAGAATCGTCCCGACGTCTACCATATCCACAACGCAAACTGATGATATGTTTAAAGATTTCCAGAAACCAGACTTTGAAACATCCCCGTGGAAACCCATCATTCCTGGATACATAAATACCGAACTGAAATTGCTACCCGATAGCGTTATCAAAACGAATTATAAAGTGAATTACAGCAATACGAATGCAGGAGAAGCTCTCTCCGAAACTGCTGTCAGGGTTCAAAGCGAACCAGCTGAACCATCCACGCCAAAAACGATGCCGGAAGCATTGAACTCTTATATGAACATTCCTGGGTTAAGTGGCTTCGATAGAGAAGACACCGACTTTCCTCACGACAGGGTCGTGCCCCAGGAGATGGTGAACTTCCGCGTGAACGGGAAATTCAAGAACAAGATCCCCGGCCTGATGGAAGACGGCCAGATCTTCACGGCTCCGCCGCTGGTCCAGCCAGAAGAGAGGCCGGATATCGAAGTGTCAGGACAATTACCGCCCGAGACGTACAACTTGAAGCTCCGGACTTCTTCCCAGCCGGAGAAGGCTGAGTTTTCGTTCACGAAGCCATATCGATCCACCAATGAGAATGAAACTGGATGGAGGGTACCTGGATCGCCGATCGCGTATACCCTAAGTGATAGCAGAATCAAAAATGTCGATGGATCAGAAATAAATAAGAACATTGGCGAACTGTCTAAGGAACATAAGAAAAAGATAGATGAGAATTCGAATCTTTTATCGACGATCGCTACCAGCACGCCAAAATGGCAGCGACCGGTCCATTCCAACATCGAGTCGACTACAACAGTGTCTAGAGTAGGGGTAGCAGAACCTGTACCTGATCCAGATGACGAATTGGAACCGAGGAATCGATACTCGGACATTCAAGCCATTACGAAACAGAACGACGCGCTGCAGGATAGAAAGGTGGACAAAAATAGCCAGGAACCAGTGTACACTAGTTATAAGACACCTGACTTGAATGGAGCTGCCCTCAGGCCGAGTTTGATCGAGAACTCTGGGACTTTGAAACCTTTCAGACACACGATACCCGTCGATAAGATCACGTCCGTAGTGAGTTTCAATGCAAACAAAGATGACAATAAGCAAGAGATAAACGCTGTCACAGACAGCATAATGAACGACGAAAATGTTCGGTTAAACGCAAGCAATTCGAAGAAGAACACGACTACAGATAGTAGAACGAAAGTATCATCGGTAATGAAGGAAGAAATTGAAATGGAAACCTTGAGGGACAATGATTCCAACATCAACGGACAAAAGAAGAATGCCAAAGTCGAACTGTCTGAAGATAACAGCCCAACAGATACCAGTACTCAGGGTATAATAGACGACGACAAATTCCTGAAACTGGGTACAACGGAGGTCTACTCGGAGATGATTCAACCAGCTTACAATAACATCGACAAGCTGGTACTAAAGAATGATGACGTGAAAACACCACCTGGAAGACTGACCCCCAACATATCTAGAAACTCCACGTTCATTGAAATCGATACTTTGAAGCACACTCCCGGTGAAACAGAGGATACTGATGCCTCAGAAGACAAGCTATCCTCTAATGTGGATGAAGGGACGGTCTGGCTCTCCAATGGAACTTCCAAACCTTCCGTCTCATTGGACACTCGCAAAAAGGTCTACAATGACACTCTGAAGGCCTACGTAGTGGAAAACCTAGTTACTTTAGCACCTGCCAAGACCAATACCGGTATTGGCAGACCTGTTAGACCAAGACCAAAGGTAGACAAGGAAAAAACGTCAAAGACCAGTGAGAAGTCTTCAAACCGAAGTTCCTCGGACGACACGATTCTTCTGGAGCAGCTGTTCGGCGTGCAGAGCCACGAAAGAAACGCGACGAAGCGTCATCCGTTGAGCAATCAACAGCTTCAAATAGATGACCTGCACGGAGGACATGCGAGGATCGAACAGATAGTGGAAGTTGTCACATCGATCAGCACTAAAGTGTCTTCGAACCTAAGCGACGATCCTATCGTGCTCAAGCTGCTGGTTACGAACTCTACCTCGCTTCCAGTAATTCGTTCCGAGTCTCATGAACAAGAAACTTCGACGCCACAGTTCTCGATTCCTGAGGAATTTTCTTTGGACGGTCAAGAGGAGAATCGATCGTTTGTGGACGAATCGGAAGAGAGTCAGGAGTCGAACAAAGGAATAAAGACATCGCCTTCAACGTCCTCGAACGCGCAGACTTCTGACAGGAAGATCTCAGCGATGGAAGAGAGCCGGTACCTTCTAGAGAAGCTGAAGCAACTCGCTGAGATTGGAACTGATGATAAACCGGTCAAGAGTAATAAGAATAATTCGAAACCTGCAATTTCCGTTTCAAACACGAAGTCAAATTCAATGGCGGACGCTAAACCGTTGGACTTTAGTAAGTTGAAAGAAATCGCGGATATCGCGACCGGAAACGAGACTTTGATGAACTCGAGCGCCGGATTTACGATGACGCGTGACGGCGTAGAGATATTCACGAAGATCCTGAACAAAATGGAAGATCGTACCGATAAAATGATCTCTACTACTGAAAAGAGCTCGGAAATTGGTAATTATTTAAAAACTTTTCAAACTTTGCTATCTTTAACTGTTTCTGATTTTTTGGTACTGATGTTAGCAAGAATATAAAGCAATATTGCATTTAATCTGCTCCCTGGTTTTACCAATAATTTCTAGTGTTTTAATTACTTTCCATTTCATTTCGAAGATTAATAGATTTTGTTTCGACAAATTTAATTTCGTATTTTCTAAAAGTCCTTCAGCGTGCCAAATATGTTCACCAGATTAAATACCTTTTCTTATTGCCTATGTAATTAATAGTAAAACGTTTCAGAATTCTTTAAATATTTTCTCTCACACTGACAAATTTTTAAATACATTTCATAAAATATATTTGTAATAAAGATAAAAATAGAAAAATTATAAAGAATTAAAAAATTATGGAAATACATGTTACCTTCGTCAGTGATAGATATTTTTTACATGAAGCAATTCGTTCTCACAGATGATTGCTTCGGTTTTCTATGCAAAGACGGGAAATGTTTGCCCTCGAGCGGTAGATGCAATATGTTAGGTGAATGTACGAATTCAGAAGACGAAGTGAACTGTGCGTGCGCCGACTTTTTAAAAGCTCAACTCCTCCATCAGAAAATCTGCGATGGGATCGTTGACTGCTGGGACTACTCTGACGAAACTGACTGCGGTAATTATTAATTAATATTTCTATAAAGTACCCACAAATTCTTTCTAACCTTCTGATTTTTAAATTAAAATTAATACTGTTTAATAATGCATTAAGTTGCCCAGTTTATTCACCGTTGCTGACCAATACTATGAATCTAAAGAATACTTTTTATGACATGAGAAAGAAACATTCAGTTTTTATTATAGTCTACAATTTAAGGTTTCCTTCTTTTAACCATGATTGTTAACAGTACTTTAAATTTCAAATTTCTCAGTCAACAATAAAATAACAGATTATGTGGTCTGCTTACAAAACACAAAAGCATCAAATTTATG